TGCGATTTAAAATTTGAGATTTTCAGGCACTTTCCCTGGTGAAAAGGGCATTCAATGGGGAAATACTTTCCACAGATGGATATTTTCCCCTTGTCCCCCGGTGGTTACGCCACTGCGGAGAATACCTGGCGGCTTAGATCAAATGCGCTTTGGACACTTTTTGAAGTGTGCTGTGCACAGCCAAAATCGGTTATTTGCCGTTCAAACACACTATCCTTTGTATGCTTTTAATTGCTTTTTTAAAACTGGTCCTGTTTCTAATGCAAAAAAAAAAGCGATATTTCAAAAAAAGTGCTGTTTAATCAATTTTTTTTCTTTAGTAGAAACAGCCTCTTATACACACCTTTGGTAATATTAAGACGATTCCAGTAAATGAATTTACATTTTAAAGCTTACAGTATGTGGAGAATATGATTATGAATATATTTTAAAAAATCAATATTCTTGTTTTTGTCAGTAATGTTAGTTTTGGCTTGGCAAGCACTGTTCACTGTTTGATCACTATTTTATAAACAATTCATTTAATTTAATTTTATATTTTCCAGATTATATTGCTGTTCTATGTGTTATATTCTCTGTTTATCTGTCTCAATATTTGCAAATTTATGATAATTGATATCCACAATAATAAACTAAATCCATGAGGGTGGTTTAGTTTATCTTGTTCATAATGATTTACTATTAGTGTCCTTTTAACGCCTCTCTCATTTGTTGTTTTAAGGCATTTCAAGGCATTTTGCAGAATATGTTAAGCAAAAGCGTCCATTATCATTACTATTTAGTATGTCTTTAATTTGTAAATGGCGTGGTTTGACGTATAAAAATCAAGGTTGACCTTGCACACAACAACATGATTATCATCACTACACAATAACAAGGTGAATATGAAGCTTAGAAAAAAAATGAGATACTTTCCTATAGTGAATATTTATAAAGAATGTCTGAAGGTAAAAAAAAAACCCACACATTAAATTTTGATTTTGAACTTACCTGCAGTAATGCAATGAAGAGGAAAAAGATGTTGGCATAGCGACGAAATTGTTCATACAGAAAAATGGGAACAAATGTCAAATATGTATACTTTCCAGTGCTGTAAAGAAAATTTAGAAAGAAATGTGATTTTCAGGCAGTACTGCAGAAGAGCTTTTGTTGGGAATAAGGATCAGAACCTTCCAGAAATCCATACCCGCATTTCGGAAAATAAAGGCCAATTTCCGTGCACATTTTGCCGAAACTTATTAAAAGTTAAATTATGCAGTACTGTAATTACGATTCTGTGCATCTACTTTCTTATCGATATCCTGTGCAAATTTGAGAGGGTTTTTCAGTATCATCAACGGAATTTTGGGAATCCCAGGTCTGCTAAATGAAAGAGGGGCTTGCCGAACCATGAAAACCTCCTGGGTTTAAGCTCTGGAAGGAAGGGTACTCCTATAGTATGTTTTGGTGGGATCATCTCTAATCACAGGAAACAAATAACTTGAAAATATATTAATTAATCTTTACAATATACAGTACCAATTATAACATGTATAAAGCCAGCGATGAATGAGCCCAACGGTCGTCAACCAATGCGATTCTATGAAGATCACAACGCCACGACCCGTGTGCAAGGAATCCTACAACGGTCGTACGATGCAGCGAGTGACTGGCTAAACAAAATTATTTGAAAGAAAAAGAGAAGCTACAGTCATACTTACTTAACCCTATTGGTCAAGAAGTCTGTTGTATGCAGATGCCGAAAAGAGATCACCCTGGAAGTATTATCATCATGACTACGTGAACTACGTTCGTGAATGTGGACTCCTTCCTCTAAAAATGACGAAAACCAGTTGCTAGATTGTTTGTCATCGCCTTCTGCGTGTCATGCCGCAAAGGGAGTACAAAGAAACACAACATGCGGGTAAGAAAGGAATGCTCGCTAATAACGAAAAACGCAAACATGCTCAACGATAAAACAGAAAACAAAACAAGGAAACATTGATAAAACTCATGCAACATGCAATACGCAAAATATATTAAAAAAAAAGATTGCTTAAAGCCAACTCAGATAGCGTTGTAGGATGCAGCCGAATCCCGGTGGGCTCACTCTTAAATAAAAGGGTGCTGCATTTACAGGGTATTTTTGAGGACTTGGTAGCACAAGAGTGGGAATTTATGGAAGGGTTTCAGCATGTATAGGGTATATTTGCGAGGACTTGGTAGCACAAGTGTGGGGAATACCAGGTAAAATTGGTACTGTAGTCCCTGCCCCATATCATCAAAGCAGTATAATTTTTCACACGATTTTAGCGAAGTTCTTTGCTAAAAAGTCAGTGCCAAACCTACAGTAGAGATCGCGAACGGACATAACTGTGGTCCTATTTGCCATCGGGAACCAGAACAAGTTTAATTTGTTTAAGGTTACATGGCCGTAATAGCAGTTCAACTGATACTGGATTTTGGTAAATGGTAAGTTCAAGTTCCTAATAATTTTCAGTAGAATACAGGTAGCGCAAGTGTCTCATGTCTTGGATTGGTTGCTGCACACCCCCGTAAGGTGTGAACCATCCGGGAGCCGGATGCTATTTATTGTCGCTTTGGGTCTGTGTGAGTTAAATGCAGATGCGATCTCATCGCAGAATATTGAACATGTTTAATATTTCTCATGATGGCTTAATATTGTCCCCAACGCTGTCTGAGTTGGACTTTAAAATTAGCTTTGCGGATTGCAAGATCTATAAAAACCATGCACGTACAGAATACAGTACCTCTAAAGGATCTAAGTGATGTCAAAATATCTTCTATACAGTCTTTTAATAACTTCATGATCAAAGAATCCCATGTGTAAATTTTAGTGTTCATCATTAAATATTGAAATTTTCCCCAGTTAATAACAATTAATCTGGTTTTATTTTGGTTTAAATAACACAAAATAAAAATTTAGAACATGAAATATATTGTAAGTACAGACTTAATGTACTTTCGTTTTTCTTCAACATTTGAAAAATTTACTTTTACTACCGGTATTCAAGAAGAATCTTACCAGCAAAACGGACTAGATTCCAATTGTTTGCAGTAAAAAGAGAGTTAAAAATCACAAATGAAAAAATTAAATCTGTATACTGACAAATTTTATAACATATCACATTATGAAAATAATGCTTGGAACTTTGAATGATATGAAACAATTTGTTAAAATGCTTGCGGTATACAGTATTTTCACATCATATTCTGTCTGTCTGAAAATATTATGACATTCTCATGATTATGAATTTACAGAAAAAAACTGTGTTGTTTGTAATTTTTATGTTTATTTAATAAAGCTGCATTCTGATTAAAAAAACAATGTTTAATGCTACTGCTTTAGTATAGTATTGATTTTTTTTCCTATAAATCCTGTCCCCATTGAGCTTCAAATAATTTAAATCACAATTAAGACAAAAGAATCTGTTTGTTTTGAATTTTTTATATTTCCTTCAAATAGACAATTAGTATGCAGATGATGTAATTTATATTAGATTGCATATTTTCTTGCATTTGGTTTAGCTTTGAATCAAACTAAATTAATAATTTAATAAACCAAAAACCATGACTGTTTTTAATATGAAACTGAAGCTGAATTCAAATTTAACCTTCAAGATGAAACATGGCGGAAAATGTCACAGTCTTCGGTTTACATAAAGCGATGCGTTAGATGCAGCCACAGTAAAATTTCGCCATTGTCTGCATTTCTTTAGTACTCCACCTAATTGCTATAATATAGAAGGATCCTAAAGTGTAATGGTTGATTTAAGTCTTGCATTAAGAAAAACAACAATCTGTCTTAAATAAATGCTCATATTTATAAAGCAGACTGACATTTATACTTATTTTCTAGCTTGAATTATTTAAATTATATTATTGATATAAATGCTAGATCAATTATGTTAACTCAGTGTATTTAATTTAATTTAATTAATATAATGTTTAAATTAATGAATTTTTTAAAATGATATAAAAGAACAATCCGGTTTATATAAATACTCAAATTTAAAGCAGAGTAATTTTTATACTTGTGAATTCTAGATCAATTACATGTAAACTCGGTGCAATTAATTTAATTAACAATAATGTTTAAAATTGATTAATTTTTTTAAAATGATATCAAAGAAAAAATCTGTTTTATACGCTTATATTTATTTAAGCAGATTAATTGTTATACATATTTTTTGAAATAATATCTAAATTATATTATTAATGTGAATGCTGGATCAATCATATTTAAACTCAGTGCAATTTACTTTAATTAAATTAATTTTTAAATTAATGCATTTGTTAAAATGATATAACTAAGAACAATCTGTTTTAAAATTTAAATAAATACTCATATTTGCAGAGTAATTTTTATACTTTTTTTTGGTTTAAAATAATAATATTAAATCATATTATTATGTGAATGCTAGATCAATTATTGTCAACTAAGTACAATTATATTTTTTAATTAAATTGATATCTTTCTTACAAATAATACAA